ACCGATCGAGCACACTCAGTCTCATTCTACATGGTGCTGCCGTGGCAGCCGGATGAGCGGGGGAGGGTGGAGAGGGGTAGAGGGAAGGGGGCAAGAAAGGGGAGGCTGGAAGGGAGGAGGGGGAGAGAAAGAGGGAGGGAAGGGGGAGAGGAGAAAGGGAGGAGAACATGGCGCTGCCATGCGCCGGAGAGAAGGGGTATAAGGAGGTATAACACATTCAATAGTGAGGTGGTTAATGGAGTACGTCATGCTGCTATTCCGTGGTTCCTCCCTACCCTGTGATGCGCGCGATAGCGGGCGGAGCAAACCTGGTAAATATATAAACCGCCTTGATAATGAGCCTCCGGCGTTGATGAAAACATAGTGGTTCGTCTGAGTGGAGGCGAAACGAACCACTAAACTTATTGGTTTATACAGTAAATTATACTCCTTATTTCTTTCTTATTGCCAGTCACCCAACCGACTATTACTAATCCCACTCAACCCCTGAATGCGATCCCTCTTCCCAAAATCAACCACATATGCGACCACCTCGTTCGAATAGTGCGAACACAGGGTTAACCCTGTCTTGCTGTCCTCATCCTTCATTGCCCCAATCTTCGCCTTCTCATTCAAGAACAGCTGCGTCAAGAAGAGATGCCATGGGTTGGAAACCTCTCCTTACTTTCCCTTCCTGCCACCTCACTCTTGCTCGAGTAACCACTAGTTATATTGTTATCTTATGTTATTGCTATTGTTACCGGCAAGATAAATCACTACTCAATCACCACTGCAAGCGATAAATGTATTTGAAGAAAGGAGTTAATGATTTCGCTCACATACTGCGCATTCCTTCTTGTTACATAAGAGAAAGGGAAGTAAATAAAATGGGCTTCATGCCAACTACGCAATAGAAACGAAACCTAATTTCTAGACCTGTGGGTCGGAACCTCGCCTCATTAGGGGTCGTCGACACCGTGAGCCTCCTCTTTCATGTGCGACCGTGTTATCCGAAGTACGTCCGGGTACGGTTCATAGCGCGACGAGGGCTCCTGCGCTCTCCATTCTAGCTTAGGCGTCCTTGATGTCTGAATTGTGCGCACCAAGGGTTGCCCGGGGACGGACAACTGCGCCTTAATACAACTGAGGGAGTAGCGGGAACTGCTCGCAGCTACGCGATAGTCTTTGCGCTTGGACATTGGATGGAGCTAAGTACAGAATGACGAGCAGACAGAATGAGGTCAACATCGGGTGACGAACTTGAAGGGAAGATAGAGTCGAATACGACGAAGAGAAGCAAGAAAGAATGAAAACTCCATTCAGGCTCGATGATAACGTAGGCCAATCCGTCCCTGAGTATTCAACATGTGCACGGT